CCTTTTACAAACAAAAACTGGATAGAGACTGAAGAAAAAGAGTAAAGTCGTATAAGCTGTGAAATGTGATCTGTTTTCTAATATCTATAATTCTGCTTTTATTTGGTTTATCATAAGGAAAGTAAATGTCACTGCCTGGGAAAGAGAAGCATTTAAATCAGGCAGCAGCAAAACGTAAAGATTTATCTTTGTACTGATTTTTGTTTTTCTATTAGGTGGATATTGACATTAAGCTGCGCTCCTGCAAGGGATCCTGCGGCGGACACACCGTGTACCAGGTGGACCGGGACAGCTACGTGACTCTGGACAAACAGGTGAACACGTCACACTTCTAACACCAATGTAGCTCCATAAGTCAGAAACTGCATCTATTGTGATTTATGTAATGGATGCAAACTCAGTTGTTTTTGCATCCAGGTTACTTGAAAAAGAAAAAACTGCAAATAAATGGCTGACGCAGCAAAGATCATAATGAAGAGAAGTAATTTCCTCAGTGTAAAGAATCATGTTTGATGCGGCGTCTCCCAGGTGAACCAGCTGGACGCCCAGGCGGCCCAGAGCGTGGACACGGTGAGGACGCTGTACGTGATGAAGAGCCGCCCGCTGCAGGACGTCATCGTCGACTCCAGGTTCAAATCCAAGGATGTGGCGGCTCAGCGGACGGAGGACTTGTTCCCTCAGGTGAGGAGCGCTTTGGGTTCTCTAGAAACAAACCTTTAAAGAGGCGTGACGTATTTAAGCAGAGAGAAACTGAAGGACATGAGAAATAAATCCCAGAAAATAATGAAATGATGTCATTAACTTTATCATGATGATAATGAAATAGCAATGTTCTCTTAAAGACTTAGAAACTTTACTACATCCCAAAAATTAAATAAAATCCACACAGAATCAAAATTATAACAATAATTGATTATAATGTCTCTCTAAGCAAAATTACAGTTCTACATTATTTTCCACGTTTGAGTAATTTAGCATATTGGGTGATTTTATTGGGCTAAAATTGAAAATATCTGGTCAAACTCTTGTCCAGCTTTCCTAATGTGATCTGGATGATTTTCTGTCAGATTGTTTCCATGCCTTAACCTCAGCCTGATGAACTATGACCTTCCTGAATGACTTTCTGCCCACAGAAGGATGAAATCATTGGCTCCCATTCTTAAGTCGTAGTTTTTCTGTTTCCAGGTGAATACTGTTCAGTTCATCCTGGAGGAGGAAGGCTCCAGCTCATCTCCAGCCACCGTCTCCAAGGTCCCAGGTACTTCCCACTCAACGTCTCCCTCCTCACCATCATCCTCATCCTCCTCTTCCGGATCCCCGTCTAAATCCATCACCGAGCTCTCAGGACGAGGCGACGGCGATTTTATCAGCGGCTTCGACGGCACAGGACTGGCGGCCCCGCCCAGCATGGGCGTGAGCACCAAAACTGTCAGCTGCACCAGAACCATCAGGAGGACGGTCGTCCACACCAAAGACGGGCCGGTGGAGCGGGTGGAGGAAGTGGGCGGCGGACCCGGATGTGACGGGACGGTCGGCTTGTCAAAGGGTGGCCTGGGCTCCTTGTTCCCAACGCTCGGTGGCTCAACGTCCTCTTCATCCTTCTCATCCTTCCACTCCAGCGGATCCAAGGGAAGCATTCTGGCAGATTCTAAATCCGGGTTGAACCCGTTTGGAACCGACTTCGGCGCGTTCATGACCGACAACACAGAGGACGACCTTCCTGATTTCCATGCTCGCAGTGTGAAGAGCGCGGTTGTGGAACGGCAGGCGGACTTTGTAGGAACAGGTACCAAAACAACCGAACTGGAGTAGGACCAGTAGGAGACGGGAAGGAGGAGGCCAGACAGACAGCTAGCTTGTTAGCTAGCCTTACGTACCAAAATCAGGAAGTGAATACAAAGCTGCTATTTTATTGGTTTCCACATTTAAACATTTAATGTGACGTAAAAGTTTGCATTGAAAAGCTAACTAACACATTGATTCTCCAAAGACTTTAAAACCTTTTTATTATCGAACATCGACCCATTATGTAACAAATACAACTTTAAACGTTTCCAGTTGTCCAAACGAGGGCTGGGTGGCCTAAAAAAATCTCCAGATCCAATTTACAGTTTTAGTTGACTTTTTGATGTTTTTTCTAAAGAAATTACAAATGACAGAAAAGATGTAAAAAATCGAGAATATAGTCATAATGTTACCAGAAGAATGTCTTGAACTCTGGTTCGTTTGGGGAGGCGTGGCCTCGGTTTGGTTGAAATGAACTCTGGTTCAGGCGACCGCTCCAAAATCAGGAAGTGGACTACAGCGCAGGGCATTCTGGGTAAATGCATCCAAAACAAACGTGAGACTCTCACACTAACGGAAGGAATGGCTCGTGGTCTTTTACCAAGTCTAAAGAGAAATTCGACAGCTGCTCAAATCTGAAGCTGCTTGTTGACATTTTGTGGAGAGGAAGTTGCACTCAGTGTTCAGATTGTCCTCTTGTTTCCTGTAGTGGTTCTTGGTGCAGCGCCCCCACAGGCGAGGAGGGGAACAGGTTTTTCAAATTAGCTTGTTCAGTTTGACAGTGAAGTGAGAAAGAGAAACACAGCAGCTGAAAATGCAACAAATGTTGCAATTTTGGTCCCAAATTGACATGAGAATACCAGACAACCAGGTGGAAAGAGCGCCACTGATTGATTGATTGATTGATTGATTGATTGATTGATTGATTGATTGATTGATTGATTGATTGATTGATTCGATTTGTCGCCCAGCCCTGGTGCAGACAGAGTAGACCTGGGAGATTTAGGAAGGAAGCGTTTTTTCTGCAGTAAGTTTGAGCCGGCTCATCCAAAGCCGTCCTCGCTAATTCGCGGTCTTCGGTGTTTGCCCCTCTGTCCCCAGATTGCGTCGACGTCCACCAGAAGCACCTGAAAGGTGAAGCAAATGGTCTTTTTAGGATCAAACCCGCCGGCTCCATGGCGGCCATGGAAGTCTACTGCCACCAGGAGGGCATAATGGGCGGGTGGTTGTTAGTCCAGCAGAGAGAGAGCGGCTCCGTCAGCTTCAACCGCTCCTGGGCCGAGTACCGCGACGGCTTCGGCTCGGTGGACGCTCTGGGGAAGGGGGAGTTCTGGCTGGGCAACCAGAACCTCCACCTGCTGACCAACCCGGGGGAGACCATGCTGAAGGTGGAGCTGGTGGACTGGGAGGGGGGCGTAGCCACGGCTGAGTACACGGTCAGGGTGGGCACCGAGGACGAGGGCTTCCCCCTGCAGGCGTCCGGATACACCGGAGACGCCGGGGACGCTCTGACCTCCCACAGCGGGGTCAAGTTCAGCACCTTCGACAAAGACAATGACGTGTCGGAGGCGAACTGTGCGGAGGCGTACGGCGGCGGCTGGTGGTACAACAGCTGCCAGGCGGTGAACTTAAACGGGATTTATTACAAAGGAACATATGACCCAGAAACAAACACACCTTACAAAACGGCGAACGGCGTGGTGTGGCCCACGTTTAAACCGGCCACTTACAGCCTGAAGGCGGCGCGGATGTTCATCCGACCGGCCACCTTCTGATCCAAACCAGGGCCGGAAAACTCATGTTGGGCCAAAACAGGACAAGAACGTTCTCAAAGAGACCAGAATTAAAACCTCTTACAATATTCTAATTTGGATACATTTGCAAAAGTTTTTGCACTTCTGACGTTACTCCCAATCATGAACTAAAGCTTTACATCCAGGCTGAGGCAGCAGAGTAGTAGAAGTAAGAAATACTGCCACCTGCAGGTGGGAGTTAACATCACTAAAACCCATTTTTGCAGAAAATTTGCAACAAACACAATTATGCATTAGAACAAAGCATGCAGGGATTTATTGATTTTGCCTAAATTTCTGGAGGAACTGATTGATGTAACTTTAGAGGACCACATAAAACACTAACGTGGGCCAGACTTGGCCCCCGGGCCTCGAGTTTGACACATGGATCCAATCACTAAACCTCATAAGCATCTAGAAGTTTGTCCATTTACTGCATGCAAACAGAAATGAGGATGAGCCTGACGGTTTACCTGTTAGCACAATGTTAGCCGATAAAACTGAACTGTATCGATCTGTTAGCTTGAACTGTCCAATGTTCTCCATGCTGCTGAACCCTGTGAGGATCAGAGAACTAAATCTGATCAATAAATAAAGACTCTGTGTTCACTTCACCTGCTGTTCGTTGTCTTGTTTTTTCCAACTTAAAAACTTTAAAGGCAACATTTTGAAACTGTACAGTTACAGAAACTCTACTGTGTTAATAATGCAAATAAAATCAGCCGAAGCTAATGTGCTTCTTAAAGTATTCCTGAAGTTAAGCCATACTGGATGTACACTGAATTATATTCTTACAAAATCACAAGAAAGAATGAGAATATAATTTTAAAAATATACCATATAGTCTATTTATGGATATCAATTTAAAATAAAAATGTAAGGAATATTCTCTAAAAAGTCAAATCTGTCAAAAATGGGAGAGAAAAAGATGCACTTAAAAAATGTAAATAAAATGGTTCAACTGAAGCTGCATCTCTGTTATAAACTAAATGTAAACATGAGTCAAGATATACTAATTATTAGTATTTTGTGGCAGGAAGTACATGAAACTGCAGGTGTTCGCTTTAGTGTTGAAGTATACAATAAGTGAATGTCTTTATGTTCTTTATTGCTGTGAAAGCTGCAGGCGACTGAGGAAAGTAAAATTTGTTTCTATGTCACATTTTGTCTCAAACAAGTTTATGAAGTTGCATGTTGTGTTTTAATGTTCTAATAAGATAAGGATGGAAAAAAACATGTTATATAAATGCAAATCAAATACTGAAAAGGTTCAACAGGATCTTTGACTGGTCCAAAGGTCCTTCTGGTCTGAACAAGAGACAAAAACAAACACGGCTATCTCCTTCGTTCTGTTTGACCTCCTGGCTTGTCAAACACAAACCGACCTCTGCCTTGTTTTTCTCTTCCTCTTTAGTGTGCCAGAGGTTCAAACAGCAGAAACAAGATGGCCGCCACTCTGCAAGTGGCACCAGCATGTACAGGATGCAACAGTGCTCAACTGGATCGCATCTCTCTCTGTGTTCAGATGATGATTGGGTGAGAAGTCTGAGTCTGAGGAAGTGCTCCTTTAAGCAGTTATTGATCAGTTTTAAACAGATCAATAACTGTGAAATGAAATAGATGTGTAGTTACTGGCAACTGAAAGTGGTAGGTTTGTTTCTAAAGATTTGTTTCTAGTAAATATCCTTTAACTTATTGATAATCCTTTTTATGACTAAAGAATAATGCAGGACCGGATAGAGCCTTGTGGTGCTCCACCTTTAACTGGATCAGTGTTTTCTTTCTGTTAGGAGCCATTGGCCCCAACTTTCTCACATCCAGCTCTCATCTCCTCCTCCTCAGGTCTCCAAATGCCCGTCTGGCTGCAGGCTGCAGGGTTTGATGTCACAAATGGAAAGTGATGTGGAGAAAAAGCTGCACATGTTCTGTCAAAAGTCAAGTCTTTATGAAATCGCAATGGAGAAGTCCATGACGGAGATGACGCACATCTACAACTCCAACCGCAGAGTCATGGTCAACAGATACAGTTAAGATTCACACAAAGTGTTCAGTTTAGGCTTTTTGGAATAAATAACATAAAGCTGGATTTTGTGTTTAGTTTCAGAACTGAAGTTTGTGGAAAGTGACGACAAACTGGCCAAGAACCTCGGAGAGCTACGACAGCGATCTCGATTTCTGGCACAGAAGGTGAAGGAGTTGAGGAGCCATGTGAGGAAACAGGTGGAGGAAATGCATCGAACAGAGGCGAGGATGCAACAAAACAGACAAGAAATGCAGCTGCGCAAGTTTTTCAAGTGAAAGGAAAATTAGACATTTTGTTCTGAAGGTTTTACAGTTAAAACTGAGAAGTTTTTCTTTTGACAGAAATTTATAACTGCAAGACATTTCAAATATCCAAAATAAATAATAATAAAAAAACAATCAAATAAAGTAGACACTAAAGTCTCTGTAAATATAATTGTTGTTCAAAAGAGAGGATAGTTGAGGCCAAAGCACCAGATTGAGGCCTTTTATTATCCAGCTTTTAGTAGAAAGACAAGAAAAACAGATTATTGAGTTTGTTTTCATTTATAATCATGTTCATTGATTTATTGCTAACATCTTGTGCTTTACAACAACAGGTGGACGTTGACATGAAGCTGAGGACCTGCCGGGGAACCTGCAGGGCGGCGCTGCCGTTCAGCGCCGATCACCACGTCTACCAGGCTCTTCAAACGGACCTTCGCCTCCTGGACAGAACCAAACCCGCCACGCCTCCCCAGAACATTCCCAGAGTCACGCTGCGGCCGGCGAACGTCGGCCCGCCGCCGTCTGCAGAATACAAAAAGATCCCGACGGTCCAGAAAGAGCTGCTGACGCAGTTTGAAGACGTTGAACAGAACCAAATTGTTCTGGTGGATCAGGCAGACGAGGTGAAACCGCTCAGAGCTGCAGGTTCTAACCCAACAGCTGAGGGTGAATTATTGTAATAATGCTTAATAAAGGCAGAGAAAAACTTCACTTATGACAGAAAGACCTTTCAAGTTCTTTCAACTCTTATGTGCTATTTATCAATTGTCCTGATTTAAACTGATAGAAAATGAGCAAAGATACATTTATTTAAATGAACTGATCACTTATTCTTAGCTTAAAATTACTGATTGTGGCACTTTGGAAAAACTTGTTTTTGATGATAAATATTTAAATCATTTCCTTGATTATTAATATTATTTATTGTAACATTGTTTTATTACAGTCATGTGTTCTGTCTTATACAATTAACTTTTATTACCTAAAGAAAAGCCATTTCTGTCTTTGTAAATAATTTATAACTCTTTTGCTAACATCTCTGGCATTTAAAGATAAATTCATTTATTTTATTAACTTTGTTCTTTGTGCAGCTGCTAATAAAATTTGTCCCAAAGCAACAGATTAAGAACGACGTTGCTTCTGGTTGGACTGTGGTGGTGATATAGTGATGAGGTGAACTTGAATATATTATGAAGTTTAAGGTGAACTGAAGCAAAAAGTGAATTTGGAGCCTGATTGGACCATCAGAGCTGACCAATCAGAGCAAAGAAAGCGTTTTGCAACCTCAATAATGTAAAACTGTAATAAACAGACATTAATTCTACATGTTAAAATTAACACTGTTGATATCAATATGTTAAAGTTGAGTGGGTCTAATTAGTGGATCCTCTTATTACCTGATGACTTCAGCAAGTTTTTGTCTGTATTTCCTGTTTTGTGTTTAGTTATTTACATGCATGATGGATGTTTAGCTGCTTTTCTTTCAGTAGACTGACATTTTGAGATAGAACATATTTATTCTTCTACATGTTTAATCAGAATGTTTCTTCATGTTACCTGGAAATGAATGGGATTAATAAAACATACTGATAGGTTCCTCAATGTGTTTATTGAGTAGCGCAGGACAGTTTTATGGACTGTTCCTTTAATGCAAACGACGTCATCACGCACAACAAGATCAGTCACAGCATACGTTTCCACAACAAATCGGATTTCTCCTCTTTTCAAGAATATAACCTTTTGAAAATATTTTTATAATATAAGAATAAAACTTTTTTTGTTGCTTTTGCATCATTTTTAAAAACTCAAACCTAGTTGTGTATAAATATGTTTGTGTTTATTGACAAACAGGTTTTCTTCCAAATCTACTGAGGACTTTGATCCGTTGATGAAAACTCTTTTGTTGGTCTTTTATTTTGGCAGTTTCCTGTTTGTGTTGCACGTGCCCGTCCTTGTTGCATGATCATCTGGAGGCAAAGAAAGGCCTGATCTTCATGCTGATGGCCTTCAGTGAGTACCAGCTGCCCTTCCAGTTCATCCACACCACACCGTCGTCTGTGCCGTGCTTTGCCATCCTTGACGTGTAGGCTCCGCCCATGTAGTATCGCCCATTTGGATTGGCCGAGTGGCAGCGGTTGTACCACCAGCCACCGCCGTCCTCCCTGGCGCACTGCTTGGAGGGATCGCCCGGCGTCCTGGAAGCAGCAGACATGGACAGGAAATGATGACCAACAGGAATAGTTGAAGCAACAGCCGTGAGGCTCAGCGTTCGCTTGGTTGCCTACCAGTTGTCGTTGTCTCTGTCGTGGGTGCTGAACATCATGCCGTTATGAATGGTCATGGTGCGGTTTTCTCCGTACAGCTCCAGAGCTCCTTCCAGGAAGCAGTTCCCAGCGTTACCAGAATAACCATTGACGGCCATCACATAGTTGGAAGTCTCAGTCTGGATGGTGAACTGCTGGTACTGGGCGTAGACCTTATAGCAAAAGGAACGGGAAGCTTTAGATTCAGTTGAAGTTTTCACAATTCAAAGATGAAAGATGACTTATACTTTAGATTATTAGAATAAAAATCACCACATTAATGAAAAGACTGACCTTGGCTCCTGTCCAGTCCTGCATCTCGATGAGAACCTCAGTGGGGCCCATCTTGGTCAGATGGCTGATGCGGTCATTTCCCAGCCAGTGCTCGCCTGTCACATGACGACACAGGACAGTGTGACATTCAGCTTCATGGTTGGGATTCAGTTCTTTCAGTTGTTTAAAGTCTTACCAGGAGTCTCGCAGAAACGCTTGGAGGATTCAAAAGCGATGTTTCCAAAACCACGGCGATATTCGTCCCATCGGCGGCCAAAGTCAACGCTGCCATCGAGCCTGTTCTGGATGAGGACCCATCCTGGAAGGAGACATTTTGAAAAGTACTGTGAGTTTAACTGAAAACACTCTGAACTTGCTGAATGAGTTGCACTCTGACCTCCATTCTGGGTGGTCTGATCACAGAAGACCTTGTACGGTGGGAGCAATGGATCCGGCTGGATCAGATACATCTGGGAGTCTCGTCCTCCACGCCGGTAAATGTCCTCACACTCCTTACCTGGATCGCAACGAAGGGAGGTAATCAATGAAAACCAGAGGTAATTCTGTCCCCCATTGTTTTTCTCTTTGTGAAAAACATTTTTCCGTCCTCACTCACCAGAAACCACCGGGATCGGACACCTGGTGACGCACGGATCCCTGCACTGCTCATTCTGGGCCAGGATCGCTTTTTCAAGCTTCTGGATCTTCAGCCTGATCTTGTCTAACACCCCCTGTAACCACAACAACATTCTTTATTTGTCTGTCATGCTGGTTCTTCATAAAACAAGTCATAAAACTAGATGACCTGCAGGACTCTGATGTTGGAGGGGAAGACCGTGTCGATGGTCTCCTTGATGTAGGCGTGTTGTTCCTCCACTTGGTCGGTGTACTGACTCACCACCTGGTTGTTGGCTGGAAACATCAGGAATGGAAACATGAGAAGTGATCGTCTATAAAGACTGCAACCGAGATTTCTATTAAAAAAAAACACATTCTAAAGGGAAATTTGTTGTCCAAAATAAATATCCACACACCAAACATGCAGACAGCTAGTGATAAAATAAACAAGCAGGGATGCCTTTAAATAAAACAACGGTTTGACTTAAAGTAGCATCGTATTGTGCATCTTACTGCTGAAGACTCGCTGTCTCCCTCAGGGAGTTGGAGATGCCATTCACGTAGTTGTAGACATTGTTTGACGAGCGGGACAATTCCTCAATCTGAGGCTTGAGTTCAACAATAACCTGACAGGAAGAAGATCAAGAAATGAGAAATTAACATCTGCAGCGCAACGGTTTTATTCTTGAAGCATCTTCAGAGATGATCTTCTAAAAAAAACTTTCCACTTGAATAACTTGAAGAAAACGAGTGAAGTTTACCGTTTTGACGTTCCTCTCCTGCTTCAGCAGAGCGTTTTTCAGTTCGCAGCCAGTCGGACACAAAGCACCCTGATGGAGAACGAAACACTGATGAAGCAAAATCCTCTTTGTTTTCTAAACTGTTAACATTTACTCAAAGAATTTTCTGAAATCCTTCTTTGCTGATTTCTCAGACTCAAACTAAATAAAGTCAAATCTACGGATTGATGAGTAAAATCCTGTTAAAACTTGGTTCAGTCTTGTTTCATGAATGCTGAAGATGTTTTCCTACCATCGCCTCTGAGGCATGCGTGCATCCTCCCGCATCAGGCTGCACCTCCTTCTCCTGCGCCAGACGGCCGACGGGAGCTGGAGTGGGCCGACCGCGGTACCTGAACAGAAAACCACCGGAAAACCATCAACCGACTGGAAACTCAACAGCAAGGCAAGTTTTCATTCTGACTCTTTGTTTTTGGAGTCCGAATTTGGACAACTTACATTAAATGGGCCAAGCAAGACTGACATTTAAAGGTTTTTGACTAGAATGGGAATATCAGCAAATAAATAACCTTTGGGCTAAAAATAGACCAGAAACTGGTTCATTTGCCTTTTTTCTCATTGTAAAATCCATTTTAAACATCTATTAACAAGCTATTGTGTTATTAAACTTATTTCAGTTTATTTCTGTAGCATTTAGTTTTATAAAATATGCAGATAATCGTCTTTGTGGAGTTGTAAAATAAAGATAATTATGTAGTAAATGGTGTTTAATTTTGAAAGTTAAGAAAATGAATTAAAAATATAAAGTATATTTATATTTTCATTTTGAAAAAAAAAACAAACATTAAGCTTCTTTTAAAAGAAACTGTTGTAGATTTTCTTTTCTAAAAACAGAAGAACTACAGAAACGTTTTATTCTATTTCCTCCTATGCGAACAACAGGACTTGGGTAAGAGCAGGATAGGAATATAATGCCCTAAATTTAAATGCAACTTTTAGTTAAACTATTTAATCATTTTCTCAGCATTTCCTGGATTTTATCAGTTTCCTAGCTTGATTCCTTAATGTGGGTCTCCAGTAATATGAGTATGGATAATGTACGATTCGCTCCGTTCATCCTGACGCCAGGTGTTGGAGTGTTTTAGTCAGGTGAGGCTGTGGGCGGGGCTTACCTGTTTCCTGAGCTGATTGGTGGCGGGGAATATCGGTTTGGGCTGTAAGAGTCTCTGCGTCCGCTGACCGGCCGATGACCTCGAGCATCAACGGCTAATCCTCCACTCTGCACAGAGAACAGCGTTAATATCAAAGTTAAGGTAAACATGACAAAGTTCTCATCATGTAACATATTCCTCCAGAGAAATGGATTTACATACTGTGGCATTCTTTGCCTTGGCGTCCTGTGAAGAAACATTACAAATAATTGTTAGGAATTCTTCTGCTTTTTTGGTGTTTATTTTCTGTGTGCTGACGTAGTTTACGAAGATTAATAAGACAAAAAATAAATGCATGTTTTGATTGCATCAAAAGCTGATGTAAAACAAATTTTTGTGAAGAAAAACTGATTAACTCAGCAGTTTGACAAAATTATGTAAAAGGAATTAGCTATTTATTAAAGTTTTAAAAAATTATACGTCAGTAAGCTGAAATTCAACCGTAAAGTTTACATCTATTGGTTTTATCAAATATTTGCAAAAATTCTGAATTTTTCTCATTTTATTTTTCTACAGTGTATAGCTTTTTAATTTACATGATTTAATATGATCAAATAAAATTTTAATAAATGCATAAAAAAATGTTTTGTACCATCACAAATTTTAAATAACTTTTTGAATCACAATCTTTTTAAAAATCTGGAATTTTTTAATTTAATGATTCTGCTAAAAGTTTTATTCCCTAAAACAGATGAAAAAAAATTACCTAATGAATCCATAAATTATATCTGATACATCTACCAGGATTTTATTTTAATATGACTTGCATCACAATAATTTTGCGCTGGGACAAACTGGCGACCGGTCCAGTTCACTGGAAATGGGCAGCAGCACAACGATGTATAGAAAATGGATGGATGAATATTAATTATATTTTAAAATTAGAATTTTTTTAAGTACCAATAATTTAGTTGTTTTTAGTCTCTTCAAATGATTTAATGACATATTTTTTGCTTGCTGGATTGATTATCAGACATCATGAATCACGTTAATAAAAGCCCATTGCTGACATTTTAATTGAAACAATAATTAATAAACGGTAATCTTTCAGGAACAAAATAAATACCATAAAATGCATTATCTTTTCTACCAATAATAATCAGAACAAAAAAACATTTAGATTGTCTCTGGTAAGCAGAGACAACTTGAATTTATTTTTCTCTGGCTGATTTGACTCACCGTGTCGTAGTCGTCGTATTCTAAGACGTCCTGAGCCCAGGTGACATAGAGGCACAGGTATAGAACCAGTAACGTCTTCATCATCAACTCTGTGACTTTTCCTCTCTCTGCCTCCTTCTTCTGACCCTCTGGTCTCTGCTATTGAGGTTTTTATCCTCTGAGCTTCTGCGCCACCTGCCTCCCCCAGGTTTTATTGATCCGCTGCAGTTGATCAGTAACCGTCTGCTGAGGTCGGTCCAACCAAACCCGACTCAGCTCTGAAATCAGCCAAGGAACAAAAGGGCAGAAGGAGAGAGGAGTCACAATTTGTTTAACGGATGGATTGAAGGAGGTAATGATGTGGTTTACTGTCAGTCTGATGACTCATGTAACATCAAAACACTTTCAAATTTTTGAAGTAAACAGAAATAAATGAAACATGCTTTTTATTTCAGATCGGATGCAATTTTAGATCTGCAACAAAATTATTTCCTTAATAGTCCAACATGTTATTTCCCACTGAAAACTGAAAGATTTTAGGTTTCATAATCACAGCACTTTAAAGCCTCAACACTTATATGTCGCTAAATCATGTTTTAAAAATCAAATATCACAAAATATGTGCAAAAAAGAGCAAAAGGCAGACAGAAAAGACTCAGATTTTTTAATTTTCACTGGAAAACATTTTATTACTCAAATGCGATAATTGTTGCAGCAGATAATCTCTAAATTTTATAAATATCACCATCAGTTTCTAAATGGATCAGAAAAACAAACCCATTTTAATGGTTTTGAGTCCAGAAATGTGGACTTCGTTTGGATAAAATGATGAACTCTGGGGTATTTTGCATAGTTTTATAACTATTACTCACAGTCACTGAAGCATTTATAAATAAAGCCGACGAAAACAAATTTACAGTTACACTCTGTCTTGCATGACATCTAAACATTGATTTTCATCCTTTCTGTGCCATAATGTAATATTTGTGTTTGTTTTTCTGAATTGGTATTATTGATCGACTTCATTATGATCTCAGTGATGATTCAGTTAAACACAGCATGTTACTGCCTGGAAGTTCTCATTCAGAGTCACTGCTGTTTGAGTCCAAAAGGGTAAAAGTATCGCATGACTAAACAACAACCCACACAAACATCCACAAACCTGCACTAACAAGCATTTCAGCCACTTAACGAGGAAACATTTTGCTTTCTTTAATCCACATAAAGAGGACAGTAGCTGAAGTAAAATGGGTCAATTTTTGTTTTATTTTACTGACTAAATGCGGCTGAAACCAGTATTAGAATTTTGTGTTTGCAGCTCAACAGCTGTGAAATGTAACAAATAAATTCAGAAGAGTGGACATCTTTGGATAATTTGTATAAAATATCAGTAATTTATCATCAAAAGTATTGAAAATGTTCCCCTTGAAGTTATAATTTATTGCCCACACCAGAGCAACCAAGTCCTCACTTTTTGTCTGCCCCAAAATGTGCATGAAATACGCAGATAATGTTCAGTGAACACTTTATGTCACATATTTGCAAAGATACCAGTAAGTCTGCATCACCCTGAGGTTTTTGTTTAGGTTTTCATGCAGATATTGCCATTACCTTTTACAATTAGCATTTTGTCTAGCTTTTTTTTCTGTTTATGTCTTTCAGTGGGGATTTTATACTGCCACATACTGGCCTTGTAAAGCTATTGCAACATTTGGGACCTTCATTTATGTTTTGAACAGTGGGAAAGTAGAAGGGTCAGGTAAAAAAGGTGCGCCAACTCTTAATGGAAAATTTATATTATTGGACCTTTAATTATTCTCTGTGAAACCACTGTCTAACTTGATTCACACTACAACAGGTTTTGTTGCTTTATTTAATTTTATTGGTTTTATTTCTTTGCTTTTATTTCTTATACAACAAACAAAAATTGCATGTGTTTGGTAAAAATGGCAGCTTCTGTGCTTCTCGAACCGCAGTTAGTGACACGGGTCGGGTTTGTTTTTGCTCAGGTTTAATTTCTGAAGATGCGTTCAGTTGTCCTTGGAACAAAACAAAAGGAGATAGTGGTCGCAGGGAGCAGCAGACCACTTCAGGGTATCTGAAAAAACAAGCAGTCAGGAAACAAACAGAGATGTTGATCATTAACTTCACTGAATACAAAATCAACCAGTATTATAAGGTAATTCCTGTCTCCAAACTACAAGTATTTAAATACTAATGTATCAATTTATAAGTTGTAGAAACATTGTATCTTATTTTCTACACATTATTTTTGTGTTGCAGTTCTGTGGAAAAACTGAAAAACAGCTTCATATAGTAATGAATGAAAAATGAGTCTTTGTGAGGATAGAAAGACATAATGTTATGTGTGTTTCTGTGTGTACATGTTTTCATATATATATATATAGGGGTGTGTGTGTGCGTGTGTGTGTGTGTGTGTGTGTGTGTGTGTGTGTGTGTGTGTGTGTGTGTGTGAGTTCTTGTTTATTGCAGATTCAAGGCCCTTTCTGGTGTATGTACTAGATGGGTAATTATGGTAACAAAACTCAAGTTATTCCGTGGCAGACCTTCATTTTTATTACAGATGTCATGGTTAGGAACTACATTTAGGTATAAATATATTTACTAAATTGAATGGAAGTCAATAAAAAGTTCTAACATGGGTAGAAATACAAACTTCTGTGTGTGTATGTGTGTTAGACATTACAGTGATAATTCATCTTCAGGCAGCGCTCTTCCGTCTCGTTGTGGTCGTCATTGTACCAGTTCTCATAGTCGAACTTGGAGCCGTCGGACCACATCCAGAAATCAAGCTGTTGGAACAAAATTACATGAACTCATACAAACCACTATACGTAACTATACTGCACATCATTTGGTGTCAAACTGCTTAAACATGTTCAACAGCTTTGTAGAAGAAGGATAATTACATTTGATTGAGTTACCAAACAAATTTTGGTCTGACTTTATCGGGAAAATAATTGTTTTTATGTTAGAAAGAAATCATACAAAAGCTTTAAATATGACTCGGTTTATCTTTGAAAGAGAATTTCTCAGTGGTAAATGATGTTTTAAAGATTTCCATACATGTATAGCATCAGTTCCTCCAATCCAGGTTTCTGGGAAGCTGTGTGTGTCTCCTCTGGTGAAAGTTTGGATGAAGCGATTCTCTTCGTAACTGTGGACTGACGCCAGGTTTGCTTCTTCGAACTGACAGTAAAACTGTACAGAAAAACACATGACAGTTTCCAAATATCTGATTTTTACCACATATAAACAGCTCAAAGATGCTTAATTTACCCCACCTCAGCCTCAGGCCATGTCTTTGGGGTGTCGATAAAGAGGAAACACCGACGACCGAATCTGGTCCATCCATATGGGCAGCGCAAATTCTGTGCTGCAAAACACAGACACACATTTCATCATATGAGCTGAAAAGTCCTTTTTTTATTTCACTTTTAACTCATTTTAGTCTCAAATTTAGTGTACTTTTTTAAATCTAGAGAAATAAAAACAAACATTAAAAACAGATGATACAGACATAAAAGAACTCAAAGAATCAACAGAATCTTTGTATTATTCTTTCTTTTAAAAGGCATAATGCAATCAGAGGTCACGGCTGGAAAAGATCATAATTTATGATTATTAAGAGCACTTGCCTGTTAGCCATAGGTGTTGATGTATATGTAAAAGATTTTTACATAGAAAAATATTAACTTTTAATAAAATATGTACCAGTAAAATAAACACTGGTGTCTGCAATATGGTTGGATAAAAAAACATAGTCACCTACCAGGAAACGTCATGGCTCTTATATTCTGTCAGTTCAGACAAAACCACTCACCGCAGTTAATGGGCCTGACTCCAGGTGCGGTCTTGGTTTTGGGGATCTCCTCTCCGGTGATTATATCCACGCACCAGCAGTATCCGGTCGAACCGGAGCACTGCTGGGGCAGGAAGTTCCCGTTGGCGTCGCACTGAGGGCAGAACATCCCGGGGAAGATCGTGCATTGCAGGTGCTTCTGGTCGCAGAAACCCCACGCTCTTGGTGAGGGTTGAGTTAATCGGCCCGGCTCGGGTCAGCGTCAATACGCCACAAAACGTGAGAACAACACCAAGAAAGGTCATGGTGGTGATGGTGGAACAGGCTGGAAAAAGGAATCTGCAGAAAAAAAATACAAATTAGTTACTTTTACAACAAAGAGATTCCTAATTAAAGCACATATTCAAAACAAAATTCAAATTTATTTGATTGTAAATTGAAAAGCCCCAATGTGAACTGACTTTGTTCTGGACGAGGCAAAATGTTGGAGTCTCTGCTGCTCCCCTGACTTTTATTCTGCAGATTCTTGTTTCTGTTCCATGAACTCGACACAAGCTCCAGACTCTAATTTCACAATAACAATAAACCTCACCTGCTCCCATGTCTTTGTTCTATTATTGACCAGTACATTAATGAAAGACCCTTTCAGGACTCAAGTTATCATTGCCAGAAAGTCTGGGTTTGTGTTTTTATTAATATCACTTTCATACAATTGTTTGGTTTCTTCCCAGAAAATCTCACTTCTTTTCACATTGTAGGTTTCTGTTTTCAGATACTATCTGTTTACATTTTTATCTTCTTCCTCTGTATTGTTCAAATCTGGGTTACATGGATCTTTTCTCCCAGACTTCGTAGAAATGTGGAATAAAATCTCTAAAGTCGTTTGAATCTGATCCAAAACAGCCCCGTTATTGTCATTGTGAGAACACAAACTTACTGATGCATCTCGACAGATTACAATGTCATTAATAATAAATAGCTTTTGCAGGAACTAGAACAAGAAGCAGAACTGATCAAATTTAGAATGAAGTGAGAGATGTTGTGGAAAAGAGAAATTGTTTCAACTTGAACTTTCAAACTAAAACTGAGAATCTGCTCTGAACATTCAAAGATACATAAAGTCAATTACAAAAACATTCAGTTTCTAGGCTCCACTGATCTGGAACAAACTTCCTGGAATCTGCAACAGCTGAAACTGTGACTTACTTAAACCTATTTGATTAGAGTTCACTTTGAAATAATAATTGGAGTATTAATTAATTCTGATCTGGATTACAACTTTCCATCACTTCTCCTCATTTTGCCACTGTTGTTTGTCTTTTGTTGTTGTTTGTTCACTGTTTTATATTTTTACCATGTAAAGCATTTTGAAATGGGAGAATATTCCACTTCTCTCTTTTGCTGAGAAGCAGGATATGAATAAATAATCTTGACTTTATAAGCTTGAAAAAAAGAGTAATAATAATCCTGTCAGTAGGGCTGTAAAAGCAGACATTAGGGTTATGGTCCAGTGCCTCTTGACATTTACATATGATGTTACAGGAACCCACACAGTTTACGACCTTTGGCTGCTTTACTTTGCTTTCACACTTAATTTTAGAAAAATAGTTTTTAGCTGAAAAGTTATTTTTTGTATTTTGAAGTGATTTGGTCCGACTTGTTTTACGTTTGCTTACACTGGAGGATGTTTCCTCCACAAATTAACTGCTTACTACCCCTTTTTAGTCTTGCTTCCAGATGTCAGTCAAGAGTTTAACATCCTCTTGTTGAAAACATAATTTTGTCACTTTCATTTTTGGACATTTTTAATATTTGCTCCTTCAGAAGACGCTGCTCAGGAGCAAACGAGGTAAGGCGTGTTCTCGTCATGCAGCAAAACTTTGGATCTCAGCAGCAGCGCTTCCCACTTTGTGATTGCATCTGAGATCATTCAGCTGTTTCAAATAGAGAACAAAAGAAAAGAGAAGCTATTAAATGTGGTAAGAGATTAAAAATCAGCGGATTGATTTCTGACCAGGTGAAACTCAGCACTCAGATATAAAGCATCAAACATGAACCGGTTACTTCACGACTAAACTGCCCTTGTTTTTAGTAAATGTTTAGTTTGCTTTTAATTATTTTTATGAAGATTTTTTTTATTTGAAGTTTGTTGATTTTCTTCTGTGCATAATTTTGGATTTTATAGATTAAAATAAGTATGGCAAAAATATTGGCAGAGATTGTAAAGGGTTCAAAGCATGAAAACTTTTAGGTTTATCTGCTTTAAACACCAGAACCTGCAGTGGCAAAAGCTTCACTTTGGTCCAAGATCAGCTGTGGGTCATATCTGGAGCACATTTGATTCAAAAAAGAATCAATGCTGATGCTGAGCAGATCAAATGAGAGAAAATAAACTGGAACAAGAATCATACATGGAGAAAAAAACTATTAGAGGATCAGCAGAAACTCACATCGGTGGAAGTAGCTGAAAGTGTGTGAAAGGTCAGAACAGAGGAGTTCATATCATCAGAGTGTTAATGCAAACATTCATGGGAAATTTCTTTTATTATTACAATTTAGTTTTTTCAAATCACATCTTTGCTTTTTGTTATAATATTCAGAAATATTTGTAATTATTTCTTTTATAGCTGAAGAAAATCTGCATGTGAACAGAATCAGAAAACTGGAACCAGAGAAACATCTTCCTCAGCTGATCATTGAGAAAGCATCGTTTTGTGAAGCTTAAATCTGATCAATTTTCTATAGTTTAATTACTGAATTTTAGGTCATTTTGAGTTTCTAATATTTTATTGAAGGCTTTTTCAGATATTGAAGTTATGTGGTAAATATACTGTTTCACTGAAAATGTCTCATGTTAACCCTGAGCTGAGTGTCAGGGAAGCAGCCCAAGTGAAACCTGGTTCAGATATTTGCGGTTTCTTCTGGACAGATGCATGAAGCCTTCGTGAGATAATAAAATAAAAAAACAACAGTCTTTTCCTGTTTTAACAAATCACTTCCCCAACGTGTGTTTCACTTCTGCGTCTCGCTCAACAGATCTGCTCTTCCACTCTGCAGCATGAGACGCCGGACTCCGGGCTCCCTGGTCCTGCTCCTCCTGTGGGTGCCTCTGATCCGGGGTCAGAAGGTCAACGGCGGCGACGGGAGGCCGACCTGCAGGCGCTGCGACCTCCATCTCTGCTGCAACTGCTCCTACAGCGGATTCACCAGCGTTCCCATGATACCAGACCAGGCGCTGAGCCTGGACCTGTCCTTCAACAACATCACCATGGTGACCCAAACGGACCTGACGGGACACTCCCGGCTGAGGGCTCTGGATCTCCATGGTAACCACTGTTTTGCTGCATCCCAGTGAAATTCAGACATTTCTGTCCTGCAGGAAACATTTGGTAATAACTTTTCACATTCATTTCCTTGAGTAACGGAGTATTTTTACTGTCTGTACTTTTTGCTTTTACTTGTTCAGTTCCTCAGTGCTTGAGGAGACTTCCTACCAACTCATTTCTGTATTGTTTTTCTATTACTTGAGTAATTTTGGACAGCTACCTTTGACTTTGACTTGAATAAGTGAAAGTAGTGTTACTCTTACCTGAGGACAGTTTGGTACTCTGCCCTCCTCTGCCTGCAGGTAACCGGTTAGCTGAGATCCATCCGTCAGCGTTCGACTCTCTGTGGAGTCTGGAGGAACTGGACCTGTCTGACAACCAGCTGACGTTTCTCAACCCCAACTGGCTCAAAAATGTGACGATTCTGGAGCGTCTGAACCTGCTCAACAATCCGTACAGGTAAGGAGCTCAGCGCCCCGCAAACGTAACTCCAGAAATGAGTTTTTAGCCTTGATTTAAAGAAACTTAGAGTTTGAGTAGTTTTGCAGTTTTCTGGAGGTTTGTTCCAGATTAGAGAAGTCAGAACCAGACATGGCCTCCATGTCTGGTTCTGGTTCTGAGGACGCTGAGCAGAACAGAACCAGAAGACTGGAGGGTTGATACAACAGCAGCAGATCTTTAATGTATTGTGGTGCTAAACCGTCCAGTGATTTATAAACTAACAGAAATATTTTAAAGTTTATTCTCTCAGTGGAAGGACTGGGACGATGTCTCCACTGTCCAATCATGACACGTTGTTCCCATATTTAATTTGGGGTGGGACAAGAGAAAAACCTTGTTTGTTTAATATGGATTAGTTTTTACATGTTTGAATGCCTCCGGATTTATTCATGCACAGATTGTTCCTCACCTAAAGCATGTCTTTAGATTCAGTTGGAAATCATACTAGATGTATCATAAACGGAGCTGAAACTTGTCTGGTCTCCTCCAGCCGTCTTGGTTCCCCTTCGATGTTCTTTGGACTCGTCAGACTGAGGCGGCTGAAGTTTGGAGGTCCAGACCTGAAGGAACTACGGAGAACAGATTTGTTTGGAGTCACAGAGCTGGAGGACCTCACTGTCCACGCGAACAACCTGGCCAGGTGTTCCCACATCCGTCCCACATGATGCAGTGACCTCTAACTCCCAGTTAATATTTGGCTTTTCCTTTCTTTTTTCCGTTCTCTGCAGTTATGACTCTGGCACTTTAGGAGACATTTGGCCTCTGGGTCGTGTTACCTTAAGCCTCCATGGTCCGTTTCTCACCAACGTGACCTTGGCTGCAGCTGTGCTTGCAGATGTGTCGTACCCTGAGACTCCGATCGTTCTGCAGGACATCGATGTGACTGGGATTCAGTCTGTCCAGTCCTTCAGAGAGTCAGCCAAAAAGAGGATCAGGTTGGATTATCATTACAAATTGTTCCTGCAGTAAAACATGCTCTCATTGATTTTTCTTGTTGTTGTGCTTCAGATCTCTTTCTTTCCGTAACTTTTCTGTGACCGATGCCTCGCTTGTCGACTTCCTGATGGTGATGAATGGAGCCCCGCTCTCCTATTTTCACGTGGAAGACGTCACGTTGACGGGCATAGGGAGGTAGGAAACCAAAACCTGCAGATGTTCAAACACCCGATGGATGAAAATCATTTCCTCTACTGATCTATAAGGTTTATGTTTAGAAATCAGGTTGTTCTAAGCTAATAAAATCTTTAGGTCTTCAAGGAATTTGCTACAAAACCAACATCTATATTTATGATTAGAGGATTTTTTTTAAAACAAAAGTAATAATTTGACCATGTTGAACAAATCTCTGTAAAATTACTGACACATCTCCAATAATCAGCCAACAGAGCAAAGTGAAGCCCAGTTTTAACTAAACTTAAATAAGGAGGAATACACTTAAAAACCTGATAAAACTTGTAAAACTCACTGCCATAAACACTGGTAGTGTTGGTGTATTGTACTAAAAGAGCGACAGTGACACCTGCTGGTCCTAACGCAGGATGACATTTTCAACAGTTCAGATTTAGAAAGGCTGGTGAAGAACCTGCAGCAACAGATGCATCTCATCTGTTGAAGTTTGTAACTCCGTCTTATCGGTACTGTTCTGATGTAGAGGCTCCACCAGAGAACATGAATGTGTCAGAAAGGACCTTCTGTTTTGTCCATTGCATTGATTTTTTCCCTTAGTTTTGAATAGATATGATTTGGCATTTTTCCTTGCTTACAGTTACTGACGTTTTGTGATCAGCTGACTGTGTAACTTTCACTGTTTGTCTGTGGCAGGTGGGAGAAAGCCAATAAAACTGATTACAAAAGCATCGACGAGTTCTTCCTCCGAAATGCTGTGGTGGTAGACGTCTACAAGTTTGTTTCATTCCTCCAGCTGGGTTTTCTTCTGAATTACCCCAGGAAGGTGTCCGTCATAAACTGCGAGGTAAATATGTGCTGATAGCAACCAAAGTTTCCAGGCTCTGACCAAAGTCTCAACAAAACTAAGTTTTGTATTTAATTAGAAATGATTTGGATTCCTTTTAAAAGTTTCTTTTGTCTTCAGGTGTTTGTGATGCCCTGCGATACGTCCAAGCTGCTGGAGAACCTGCAGTACCTGGATCTGTCTGACAATCTGCTGACCGACCTGACCATGGCAGAATCGCTTTGTCATGGAGCGCCAACGCTGAAAGAACTCAGAGTTTTAAACATAAGTGGAAACCCTCTGAAGGTGTCTTTATAGTTAAAGTCAAATCTGTGTAACTTACCAGGAACCAGAATGTCTTGGTTTCAAGCTTTGTCCACTTCTGTCCAGTCTTTGTCACTGATTAGCCATCTGGTGGCCAACCTCCTGAAGCTGACCCACTTGGACGTCAGCAGAACTCTCTACAGCTCAATGCCCTCGGCTTGCTCCTGGCCCTCCCCTCTGAAATACCTCAACATCTCCAGAGCTAAGCTAACCACCACCACTTCCTGTCTACCAAGATCGCTAGAGGTAAAGATACTGAACCATACAGAAGCAAAGCCAGCAAATGCAAAGCAGTTATAACCAAATTATGCGTAACTGACTGTGAACATTATTGACAGGTGCTGGATCTGAGCTACAACGATCTCACAGGTTTCTCCCTGGACTTGCCTTTACTGAGGGAACTGTACCTCTCTGGGAACAAGTTCCTAGGTTTACCCGCTGGACAATCCTTTCCAAACCTACAAACGCTTACAATGCAGGTATGAAAGAATCCTGTATTTCCAAATAAAGTCAACTCTGCATTCTCCAGTCTGTGACGCCTTTCTCTTTTCAGTTCAACACCCTGAACATGTTCGGCCTCCCAGAGCTTCAGTCTTTCCGGCGGCTTGAGAACCTCCAGGCTGGTTACAACAAGTTCATCTGCACCTGCGACTTTGTTAACTTTCTCCAGTCACAACTAAAACAAAAAGGAAATGTCAAGCTAACAGACAGAAAGGACGGCTATGTCTGCGACTCCCCTCTCCACCTGAAGGGAGCGTTAGTGAGTCAGGTCCGTCTCTCGGTGGAGGTTTGCCACCGGGTTCTGTTTGTCTCTGTGAGCTGCGGCGTGGCCCTGTTAGTTGGGTTGCTGCTTTGTGCTCTGCTGTGGCGACTCCACGTCTTCTGGTACCTGAAGATGACCTGGACCTGGCTCAAGGCAAAGCGAAGTTCCCGAAGACAAAGAAGAGCTGCAGACTCAGAAGCGCTGCTGGCCTTTGATGCTTTTGTCTCCTACAGTGAGAGGGATGCTGGCTGGGTAGAAAACTTCCTGATACCTGAGCTGGAGGAGCCAAGGTGAGTATTTTTAACTTTTAGCTCATATTATACTTCAACAAGGATTTTAGCCCATCAACTATGCATTTATGTAAGAAAAACATTCAGTCAAACATACATATTTATATATTCTTCTAAAAAATGTAAGTTTTTGGATCAAGCTGCTTTTGTCCAGCTCTGCATGATCCAGTCGAACTGTTGAAATCAGTTCTCATTCTCATGATTGACTAAAATCTGGTCATTTTGTCCTCAACCCCATGTTGTCTGTTCCTTCTTGTTACAATTAATCAATGGATCAATTGTCTGAGGTCTTGAGGATTTACATACTATGCGACCAAAACACTTAATTTCTCCTGCTTGGTTCTGGTCCAATGCAGTGGGTAATATGTGACCATTCGCTGTCAGTTTGGCTTCAGTCTGACTTTCATGTACTTAAAATAAAGTAGAAAGTGGATCCATAATCTGGTTTCCTGTTTGTTTTCTCAGCAGTGAGGCTGGTTCCAGTGGTACCAGCTCTTCTGGGCCGTTGTCCTTGTGTCTCCACAAGCGAGACTTCCTTCCTGGACAACCGATCATGGACAACATCATGAGCGCCATCGAACGCAGTCGTCGTACTATCTTCGTCCTCTCCGAGAACTTCGTCCAGTCCGACTGGTGCCGCTATGAACTGGACTTCTCCCACTTCTGGCTGTTTGAGGCCGGCGGAGACGCCGCCATTTTGATTCTGCTGGAGCCGCTGTCCAAGGACGACGTCCCCAAACGGTTCTGCAAACTGCGTAAACTCATGAGCTCCACCACCTACCTGGAGTGGCCTGAAGAGGAGGAGAGGAGGCCGGAGTTCTGGAGGAGTCTCCGCATCGCTCTGACCGGAGACAATGACTGACAAATAGAGCTTGAACATCGAGGGGAAGGAAAAATATCAGATGCACTGAGGACTTTCTCGTGTAACTTAACCAAAATATTCATGAAAAACTTAACCATTTGTGTATTTTTGGGAAAGTGAAATGTGCAACGCTGTTGGGCATTCTGCTGGCTGGTGTTTGCAAAGCAACCAAACCACAAGTGGATTTTATTTTCCTTGGTTCCTATTGGCTGAACCCCCAAGAGTGGAAATAAATAAGATGTTGGATTTTAGCTTGTGCAGTAGCTAACATGACTTTCACTGTGCGTATTTATTCATGCTGAGGGACATTTGGTGTTTGAACTACTAAGAAAGACATCTACACTCAGTTTTAGTGGGAATAAATGATGTAATTAATGTTAAACTATGATCCAAGGTGAATCACTGAACCATAGAAACTGGAAAACATACTATAAATAATGCCTTGAATAAGATTAATAACACAATTAAAAGATGCATTGGGCATATTGAAAAATAAAAAAACGTACAAAAGAACAATGCTGAAACTATTCTGCCAATAATATCTTCTAAAGAGCAACTTGACTTGATGACAAATGCTTTTTATTCATAATGAACAATTATAAATTGTGGCTTTGCATTCAAAATTTGGTTTTGCATTTATGTTCTTACATTTTTTATTTTATTTTTTATAATTATTTGTAGAGGACAAAAATCTGCAAAGAATAAAAAAGATAAAACTATATTTCCATGTCGTTTTGTGTTATTAAATCCACAGCATCAGCAGATTGAAAACAGATTGAATCCTTATTAAGAGCAGGAATAATTGGTCCTGATATGGAAAGAACAAAACATTAAAATTAACACTTTCTTGTCTAATTATTCCTGAACTTACACTGAAACATCTCTGTTGGTTTTGTGAAGTGATCCATGTTTTGTGGTTGTTCGCACACGTCCACCTGTCTGTCTGTCGACCCCTGACTGCTTACTACGAAACTGCTCTGCTGGCTCACTTCCTGTTTTACACTTGAACTTTAGTTCCTCTTGTGATGGAGAAAAACCCTTTTTATTCTCCGACTCTGATTTTCTGCCATCCATTTCATCTCATCTCTCCAGATACTAAGGTAAGAAACATCCACTGAGTCCTGATGAAAGCATGTTTTGCTGTTTAAAAATACTTTTATCCATCAAAGTTTAATGTTTTATGCTGTTTTTTGTAATCTTTTACTCTTATTGAAAAAGAGATTTTACAGTAGATAAATGATAAAAGTTTCTCCAACACAGCCTGTTAATCTTGTTGCTTTTCCTCTAGAGGTTATTATCAGTTATTATTGTTCAGATGAGAAAATGAAACACAGAAAGAAAGTTAGAAAAGACAATATTTAATATTGCTCAAAGTACTGAAACTCAATTACACATGTTGTGTTTAAAAAAAATCATTGTATTCCCTTTTTAGTCATTTTTAATACACAAATACATTAGAAACTCAACACAATTCCCACCATAAAGACGTCCTGAAGAATGCTGGTAGGTTTAGTTTCATTTGAATAACCGACTCATCTCTGCGCTTCATGGAGTCGACCCTCAGCTGGAACCTGTGAAAAGGCATCGCAGCCCAAAACTGTTTGCTCTCAAACATCTGCAGACGTTTTAACTCGACCAGCAGCTGCAGACGTTTCAACTCGACCAGCAGCTGCAGACATTTTAACTCGACCAGCAGCTGCAGACGTTTCAACTCGACCAGCAGCTGCTCACTCTGTCAAACACAAGTTTTCTGTTTTCCTCTTTACTTTTTTCTGTCTCTTTGTTTTGTGTCTTTTAGCTTAGAAACTCTTTAAAGTCATTTGATGTTACCAGCTGCTCATTTGCACCACTTCATTTGTTTTCCCTCCTGGAATCTTCTGCACAGATTTTACTCATTTTTTCAGACAAATGCGCTTTAACCACAAAGTGCAACATCTGCTTTCTCTGTTTTTATGAATTCCCATAATAACGTCAAGAGAACTTCCCTCTTTAACTGCTACGTGTTTATAGGATGCTGTTAATAATCCACTGTGGAACCAAAAAGACTTGATTTCCTCATGAAATGATTTCCTCACACCTCCTGCCAGACTTTCACTTCTGCGCCGCAGTCATGTAAAACGAGCTGCAAAATGGGAAAAATCTGACTCATTTTCCTGTCTCTGCGTTTCACCGACTGGAACAGCCGACTGTCTCTGCAGGGGATGAAGCATCTGAGGATTCTGGCGCCGTTCCTCCTCCTGTGGCTGATCCGGGATCAGGCGGCGAACAGAGGCGACGGGAGGCCGACCTGCAGGCGCTGCGACCTCCATCACGCCTGTAGCTGCTCCTTCAGGGGGTTCACCCATGTTCCTGTGGTCACAGACCAAGCTCTGAGCCTTGACCTCTCCTTCAACAACATCACCATGGTGGCCCAAGACGACCTGACGGGACACTCAATACTGAGGCTTCTGGATCTCCAGGGTAAAAATCAAGGGATTCACACTGAAATGAGCAGCAGAGCGTTTCTGAATGCAGACGTTTCTGTCCTGCAGGTAACCAGATAGCTGAGATCCATCCATCAGCGTTCGACTCTCTGTGGAGCCTGGAGGAACTGGATCTGTCTGACAACCAGCTGACGTTTCTCAACCCCCAGTGGTTCAACCAGCTGGAGCTGCTGAAGCATCTCAACCTGATCAACAATCCGTACAGGTGAGGAGGGCAGCTTACGCTTTGAGGCAGAGGCATCTTGTGAAGAACCTAAAGCCTTACCACGGGTTCTCAGATGACTTTGAATGGGCCATTTGACCACATGCATATGATTGAATCAAACCATCCCATGGTAGCTCAGGATAAACGTTTAGGGTTGTTGGCCTGTAGGAAAACAGAGACCAGGTAAACACTCATCGCCATTCTTGTCCTTCTCGATCTCCTACAGCTTTCTCGGCTCCCCTTCATTGTTTCTTGGACTTTCCAGACTGAGGAGGTTGATGTTTGGCGGTCCAGATCTGAAGGAGCTGAAGAGAGAAGACCTATCAGGAGTCACCCACCTGGAAGAGCTAACAGTTCAAGCCAACAATCTGGACAGGTAACCAGGTTTCCCTTTCCAGCACCGAGACGTTGTCAGAGTCTTTTAAAGTTCTCCAAAGGTTCTGGTGATCTTTGCTTTTCACTGGACTTTACCCTGTTTTTACATGTCCTCTCCAGCTGAGTGGCAAATTTCAGCTAAAAAACAATAAATTAATAAATAAATGCCAAGCAGTTTATTCATGGAGGTAAATAAAACCCAAAGTCCAAACCCGTGTTGATCGGTCCTCTGTCTTTCCTCTTGCTTTGACTCTGTCTCTCTGCAGGTATGATGCTGGTACTTTTGGGGACATTTGGCCTCTGGGTCGTGTCACCCTAAGTCTTCACGGCCCGTTTTTAACAAACCCTGCGTTGGCTGCAGCTGTGCTCAACGACGTGTCCTACCCTGAAACTCGGCTCACTCTGTCAGATCTCCATCTGGCTCAATATGTGTCTGTCCAGCCTTTGAAAGATTCAATCAACCTGATCAGGTTTGATAATAACCTCCCTTTTTGCAGGTAGAAACACTTAAATGGAGCAAAATGTTTATGAAACGTTAATTCTCCTTTGGTTCTTCTCTCCAGATTTCTGTCTCTCCGCAATGTGTCGCTGTCCGATGAAGCATGCGTCTCTATGCTGGCTCTGATCGACGGCGTCCCGCTCAGATCCCTCTCCATTGAGGGTTTAACTCTGACAGGCGAGGGCAGGTAGGAAACCAACAGGGCAGCTGTTCATCACCGCCCAGATGTTTTAGTCCAAACTTTATCCATTGTCTGTACTCAGTCATCCTTGAAAGTTTGTAGAGTTCATGGAGTCTCCCTTCAGCAGAGCAAGAGTCTGACATGGAAACACAGACAAAGAACAAACAATCATCAACATACGGAGAAGTAATGGTGACTTAGAGACACCAGTTAACCTGACAGTCATGTTTTTGGACTGTGTGAGACAGTCAGAGAGCCAAAGCTGGGATTCAAGTCTCTTACTGGGTCACATTTCAAATCAATACTAATTCCAATCAGATTAATAATGTATGAATAATTCTGACCTTCACTGTTCTTCCAAACCTGAGTATTTGTCATCTGATGTGGCTAAAGCCTTTCCTGACTCTGCGTCAGGTGGGTAACGGCGAACCGGACCGATCTGAGCAGCATGGACGAGTTCTTTGCCAGTGACGTCACAATTTTAGACATTTTGAAGTTCGCCATGGTTTCAGAGCTGCAGTATCTGTTGCAGTACCAGAAGAAGCTCTCCATTATTAACGCAAAGGTAAAAATCACACTTCAATGGTGGTAATGTGAATCAGGCTGTGATGCTTTTCATTCTTAAATCATAGTTTGATCATTTTTCATCTTATCATTCATGTTAACCAAACAGCATTTTATTTTAAATTCATGATTTTCTGTCATTGTGAGAAGAGTTCTGTATTTTTGTGTGGTTTTATCCCAAATCACATTAAAATAAATGTTTAAACATAAGAAATGTTTTCCTCACAGCTCTGCTCTCATTTTATTCCAGTTGTTCCTGTTATCCTGTTACTTAACCCAGATGATGGTGAACACGTTGTACTTGGATGTGTCCGATAATCTGCTGACCGACCTGACTCTGTCTTACATGCTGTGTGACGGCGACAAAACTCTCCCGGAGCTCAGAGTTTTAAACATGAGCGGAAACCTTCTGAAGGTGTCGATGTTAAACCTGAGGTCAAATTTGTGTAAAACTGCTCAGAGCGCCAACCTCTGAACGTTTGTCTGCTTCTTGCAGTCTTTGTCCACGTTGAGCCGTCTGGTCACCAAGCTCACCAAGCTCAGCCAGCTGGATGTCAGCAGAACCGGCTACAGCTCCATGCCCCCCAGTTGCTCCTGGCCGTCCACCCTGGGGTACCTGAACATCTCCCGGGCGAAGCTGACCATCGTCACGCCCTGTCTTCCAAAATCTCTGGAGGTACAGAGACCAGAAAACCTTCCCACTGAAAGATGCTTTCTATTTATCTCCTTCTCGCTTCTTTAAAGGTGTTGGATTTAAGCTACAATGATCTCAAAGAATTTGCGTTGACTTTGCCAATTCTGAGAGAGCTCCACCTTTGTGGGAACAAGTTTCTGAGGTTACCAGCAGGGGGCGCATTCCCAATCTGCAAACACTCATGATTCAGGTAAAATCCCATCATCAGTTTGAGTCTCTGTGCTCTCCATGCTGATCCATTTTGGTTTCGTACATTTCAGTCAAACACCCTGAACGCCTTCAGCCTTTCAGACCTTCAGTCATACAGGCGACTGGAGAACCTCCAGGCGGGACACAACAAGTTCGTTTGCTCCTGTGAATTCGTCGCATTCCTCCGCTCACAGCTAACAGGAAGCGGAGATGTGAAAATAACGGACAACCATCAGACCTATGTCTGTGACTCGCCTCTCTACCTGCAGGGGGAGGCAGTGAGTCAGGTCAGCCTCTCCATCATCCAGTGCCAGCCAGTTCTGTGTGTGTCGGTCAGCTGTGGGGTCGCACTGGTTCTGGGGATTCTGGTGGCCGGCCTGCTCCGGCGATGCCACGCGTTCTGGTTCCTGAAGATGACCT